GCAACAACCCAGAAGACGGCAATTTTCAAACTCGCCGCCGTGAAAACCTCAAATCCTACAAAGAGAATAAGGTATTAAGATACTATTGCCAACTGAATTACAATAAGATTTTTACACTAGTTATAAGTAAAAAGAAAAACAACAATAAGAACAGATTTAGGCAATAACAATAAGCAATTTAAATTTAATGTTTCCTCCTCTCAGGTAACATCTGATCCACATTATATCCTAAATCATGGCATAAGAAACCATGTTGTGTTTCGTTCTAAATTAAATATTTTATCATAATATACAAATGGTAAAAAAAATAGTTGATCTTAATTTAGGATACATCACTTTTGGTGCCTGCTTCTTGTCGTGAACGCTCGTCTAAGGATTATCTGACTAGTCTTTTATAATCTTAGATACTGACATGTTTACCAAGAAGAATTATCATTATCACCTTAAGTTGCGTCAGGTTCACAGTAGTGATATCACCAACAGTTAGGCTTGGGTTTGACCCCAACTTCTTTTTCTCTTGCTCTCGAAAGTCCATGAAACGGTCTATAATGATGCGAACTTTCTCTCCAGCTGTATCTGGCAGCAGCAAGGACCCATGACCTGGAGTACCCGGGCAGTGTACGAACATATCTGACAATTAAAAGCACAAAACTCATTCATTACATAATACTAGAACTTGAAAGGAAATGTTAAATATTTTATTCAATTTACTTTCATAATTTTAAATATTGGAAGAACCCCCCCCCCCCCAAAAAAAAAAAATCACGATAACCTCAGGTCATCCCCGATAATGCAGAAGAAAGTGTATATTACTGCAACACAATGGATAAATTACAAAACAGTACATTTAATTGAAGCAACCTATTTTCTGTGCATTATCTATCGTCCAAGACTAAATAGAAACCAATAAAATCATGACGTTTCAGAGATTGGAGTTTATTTCTGTCTTCAGGTAAAACATACTCTGTTGGGTCAAATCGACAGAGCTAATCCCTATCTGAAAGATACTTAATCACACACTCCTTTTACTCTATTGATGAATTTCTAATTTTCGCAAAGAAGTCGTAATGTTTATTCGGGTTTCTTTGTCTTCATGTAATATAAATGAGTAGTATAATTTATCTACTGTATGTAATGGGTGGATGTAATGTACCAATTATGTGAACCCTTTGTTTATAATATGTGAAACTTTATAAAAGTATGAATAATACGTAACTGCATTGTATTATTACAACTTATTCCCCATCCTTCTGTCATCTGACTTACTTATGGATCCACAGAATGCAATAAAGATGTACGTATTAGTTACTCGTTACAGCAAGCCAGCGTCACTCATAAGAAAAACACAAAGAATTGAAGAGTACGAAGATCATACTTACGCCATATACTCCGCTCTCCATAAAAGAGTGAAAATTGTTCAAAAGGACTTGCCATGCCTTCATCCAGGGCAAAGCCGATGTTCAAGTCACGGAAGTCAGGAGTGCTGACAAACTTAGCCATGCCATCTTTACCACCAATCTCTTCGTCTGAAATACCAGAATATGAAACTGAAATATTCCATCATTCTACGACCGACATTACTGGCAACACATTTAATACAGAGGATTTTAATATTGATAAAATTATCGGTTCTCAATAAGAAGTGATTCACGCTTTCATGGAAGTAAAAGTTTAGACCGTGATACTGTATAGACTTTCAAATGGGTAACAATGTTTCAGAGGAACCTTTAAGACTTCTTCATGGTGCCATAAGGTAGAATACCTTACAGTCCAGAAGTTGTTTTCTTCATTTAACTGCCTAACAGACTTCGCTTAATTTTACAAACACCCAAACAGCGATTATTATTACACCTAACTCTTCTTTTATAACGTGTTCATCAGTTACACTAAACTTTCTACAAAAACAACTAAAATATAAAAAAGTTAAGTTATTCACTATTTCAGAGTAATTAATAATCACCTGGCACAAATGAAATGTGAATTGTCCTTCTGAGTCGGACTCCTTCAGATTTGAGACGGCGTACAGCCTCCAAATACTGAATTCCCACGCATTTCATATCTTGTGCCCCACGGGCAAATATGTTCCCATTTTTATCCTTATCGGCACTAAAAGGGTCATGTGTCCATTTCTCCTAAAAATGAAAGGCATTTACAAGCGTGAGAGACAATCAACAAGACTGGAAAGATGTACTCTCTGAAGTACACTAAAAATCCAAAGGTGTTCTTTATATAGCAGGGTTACCAAAAGAATAACAATGGTACTGACGGTCACACTTGCAACAATACAATTCAAGGTCTTATTTATGAAAGTAGCAGAAATTAAGATGCAGGAACTTTTTTCTGTAACGGTTCAAGAAATAAACACAAAAGCTTCAAAATTCCATTACTTGTAACAAAAGCAATTGTTAATTTCGTCTCACAAGCCACATCTTTGTGACACCTTTTAAACAAACACGCTGATTTTTGTTTTATTTGTCGAGTGTTACTACTACTGCTCTAGTCCTTACATCAGCAGAACTTACAGGAAATACTGGAACTACATCCATGTGAGAGTTCAGCAGTACTGATGGAAGTCCTGGCTCCAAACCTTCCCATGTCAACACCACAATCGGTTTCCCAAACACTACAGAATAAACTTGTAGTGGTAAACCTAGTTGAACCGCTTGTTTCTTCAGGAATGCAACGCAGTCATCTGCACAGAATATGCAGACAAAAAAATTAACTCCTATGATAGTCTAATAATACAGCACATTGAGTATTTCAAATGTCGGTAACATCTGAATGTGCTCATAAGCGCGAAAAAATTCCATATTATCTTTCAAATAGCCCAAAGCAAAAGGTCTCGGGAAGGCAAGTCCACATATGAAGATGGCTATCTTCTGAGTTGTTGCACCATGTAGTCTGATAGAAGTTTACCGACGTTTCAGAGGTCATACTGCCTCCATCATCAGGGTGATGCAGCAGCAAGGACCTCTGAAATGTTGCTAAACTTCTACCGGTCCACAACAACCCAGAAGACAGCCATCTTCAGACTCCCGGCCGTGAAAACCTCAAATCCTACAAGTCCAGATAAAGATAAATTATACGGTCACCACAGAACTCTTTAAAAATGGCCACTGTGGAGTATCGCATGTGCACGGTTATACCATCTCACTGTAACCAGAAATCACATTCAGATTCATCCAGTATTGAGATGAAAAATGCGTAATCAGTACCTAGACAAGCTCAGCATTCGCAGCATCTATATACATAAGAAGCAATATTGGTTGGTGGTCATTTTGTAGTATACAGATATTGATACAGGTTAACATACATGCATTGATGGAAATGCATTAACTAATTATTACATTTCTCACAATTCCAGACATCTATCCTCCCAACCTGCATTCCACAACATGGACAAAAGACAATGATATATTTCTGTTACATCACTCTGAAGGGCCGACCATGAAAGTCTTAACAAACTGCCTGATACATATGAAACGAAAGAGCAAACATAAGATAAGTGATAAGATCTACCAACAATAAAACAAGAAGAGACCATAGCAGAAAACAGTCTTTGTTTTAAACCTACGAGACAGTAGGATTATGCATTAATTAGAAGAAAAAGATGCCACTATGACTTCTCTGAAAGTAAGACACTATACTTGATAAGCTACCCCAGCAACTATTTTTAATTTCTAAAAAGCATTGATATGCCATGAAAGGTAGAGGATTGGGTACATAACCTTGAAAGCCTGCATGTTCCACATGCAGGGTATTAGACAATAATACCTTCAAGATTTTATCTTCCTTATGAATTATTTGTACTTGCTGTCTCGTATCTATAAAGTCAGATTTAATAAGACTGTACGACTTCCATTGTGAAACAGTTTATCAAGAAGTAGTTTATGGCCAATATGATCAAGTGTTTTTCTTAAATACAGAAGGACAGTTACTAATTATTTTATGATTAACATTTTTAATTGCAATTTCTACAGTTCAGACTACTGCATCTTTTGCTACACTATGAACTACTAAGAATACTTTGATTACCAAATGTCACAAACTGATTTGATTTAATTTTACTCTCCTCAGTATCTCCGGATGGACGATAGTTATTTACTTTGTAGGATTTGAGGTTTTCACAGCGGCGAGACCAAACAAGGCTGCCTTCTGGGTTGTAGCGACCTGTAGTCAGGTAGACGTTTACCAACGTTTCAGAGGTCCTTGTCATCTCCATGATCAAGGGCAATGAGTAATCACCGTGATAATGGATTTTCCTATAACTCAAACCGATTCCATGCGTGCGGCTTATTTCTACCAGATGTATTAATGTCAGCATGCTCAGCTTAGTAATCTGACATCATTAGACTGTATTACTACAGTTATGAAGCACTGACCTGGTATATTAGTCATTACTGGTATAATGCCGATGCAGCAACATCCATAACTTAAGCTGGCTCATGAATAGTTAAAGTTAAATTATAAGTAACTCCACACAGCAGATTCCTTCTTGAGAAGCTGAGAGAATGCTCAGCTCTCAATAAATGACCTTTATTTTAAGGAAAACAAAGACACATTGCCATGTTCACAACAGTTCACCGCCGGTTCCTATCCTGAGCCAGATAAATCTAGTTTGCACCCCAAACCTCATTTCCCTAAGATAAATTTTAATATTAACCTCCCACCTATGCCTAGGTCTTCTGAGTGGTCACTTCCCTTCGGGTTTGTGAACCAAAATTTCGTACACTTTTTAATCGCCCCATGCACACTATATGTCATACCCATATCCCCCTCCTTGATATTATCACCGTAATATTTGGTGAAGAAGAATGTTAACAAGTTCATCAGTCCCTATTCCATCATCCACTTATACCCAAAACCTTGTATCCAACTACCAAAGATATCATGTAAGATTATTCCAAAGTAAATTTTCGTTACATTTCGTATTCTTAATAAGAATCGAACACGGCAACATCTACAATTACCAAAATTGTTCCTGACAATAAATGTTACGCATTTGCTGCAACAGCACCTTGACCAAAAAATTAGTCATTTTCTACAATGCAGGATTATGCCATTGTGTAGGTTCTACAGTGGGTGTGGTTGACATTGCAGAATGTAAAAGTTATCATTGCAAATAACATTACGTTCAAAATTGTATCACTGACAGACAAAGCAATTATTCTACATCGGATAAGTGCGAATGTTTGCAATATAGATTAAAACGAACATTAATAATATGTCACGTAATCAACATTCACAACTCACGTTTCAATAAGGGAAAGGTCAACTTGTCACTCATTCCCCCACTCCATTATACGGAAAGCGTATTTAAATAAATCCTCAAAGTTGCAGTAACCATTTAATTTAAGCAACATGTCCAGTTATTGAATACATCCAGTTTTCAATTAAACATACCGTAATTCACGTCCGGCTGAACGGAGGGGATACGTAAATATTCACGAAAATTAGCAACAGCTTCATCCTCTACACCTGCTTCTTTCTTCCCTGGTGACATCGCTAGCCAACGTTGCGCTTTGCACAGTTCAACTATTGCAGCAGACACCTCTAGTCAACCAATAAAGATCGACCATTTGTTGTACGTCACTGTACACAACCAATTATAAGATTTTCAGCTGACGATGTTGTGGGAGACATTTTATTTGCAAGCTTGAAGTAGCTTAGATATTTACCATTTATATTATGCCCTGCATTACTCAGCCATGTGCCATAAATAAAGTAATAATAACACACATCTAGCCCTACATGCTTATCAGCCTGTATTGTTTACAAACGTTACATCACCTCAGATACTAATTTATTTTGACGTATGTGTGTGTGTGCATCGTCTTACGCCGAATTATTACGTTAAATTACGCTTCCACGTACCTCATTTTGTTAATTTTCAAAGAATATTTCTGGTAGTGCACATACACATACTTGCTATCCAACACATGCATTGACTTTTATTAGTTGGTCCATTTAATGTATGATTATTGACATTGCTGTTTACTTTTGGTGATTTAACCAATCATAAGTTGCTCTACAACTTCTGGCATGAAGTTGGAGACAATGTTTCTCTGAAATGCTTGTATCTCACCTACTGGTCCACATAGTGTCAAAACCCTGAATGTCACCCTTGCCATTAACAGAACTTTCAATCTCAGTATGTTCCTGATTTTTAGCCATAAACCGGTGATTAAACATGGACAAATAATCAATACTTCACTTGTACATATAGGTTGTCCCACAAAATATTTTTACACAATACAATACAGTGGCCACTTAAATAAGTTGCTCACCGCAGTCAACTGTTCCATGATGCTAATGGTCATTCTGAACATCCACACTAGATTTGCTAATCCACCAAGTGCCAATGCTAAATTACGTAATAGTATAGTTTTGGCAAGGCTCTTCATATGAGGAATTAACCTGACACAAGCCCTCTACCTATACAGGACAACACGACACAGAAAGACAGACAATCATCTAAGCCTCGAGTAGGATTATCACATTGTTTGATTTATCAAAGCCCACACCCCTACACTGCACAGCCACTGCGACCAGCAAAAATAATCAATGCATACAGAAAATAAAAATGCAAAGTTTCATCAGGACCAATGTCTGTGGATTAACATAAATCCTTAAATAATTTTGTCATCTTCCTCCTACTTATAACTGTTCACTTTCAGGACTGAAAGGGGATATGGATTATGTTAACAGAGTCAGGTTAAATCTTTACCTTATGATATTTATTCTTCATGTAGTGCTTTGCTCCTAAGCTCTATTACAGTTTTCAGAGAATAAAAGTTTCAAATAATTAAATGTCAATAAACATTATGTACAAGTTAAAACCATACATACATAAAAATTCCTGTCTGCTACCTTTATGATAGCAATACTTTTATCACACCATATACACAAACACATTTTAGTATACTTGACACATGCATACTGGCAACCTACGCCAACTTTTGATTTAACCAGGTCAAGTCACCCTTTCATTTTATTATATAGCCTCTTTCCTAGCCATATTTTAAATGAAACATGTTTTAGTATACTGTTAAACCTCAAAACTGTTCATAAAATCTCCAGTGTTGACCACTGATTTCTTATTAATTTTCTGTTCCCACTATCTTATTGCACACAGTATTCAATTTTCCACAATTTGAATTATTTTTATTTATTACAATGTATTTTATTATATTACAATCCCACAAGTTGAGCACACCTTGTTTGTGCTATTACAAATTACTCCACTTTAAAATAACTATAATTTTTACTTGAAAATGTTCTCATATCAGAATCCATCATGAGGGTTGTGGAGTGTGTTTCTTTGTTAATGTTATTAGAAAATTCACTGCACCTTAAAATATTTACAACTGGATTTCAAATCTTGTTCCACTTGAACTGGTTCATTCTTTACATGCAACAGATGCACGGTGAGGGCTGCCAAGTTATTTCCCTTTCTCCCATGCCGACCCTTTGTTATTCACAAAACAAGTGTTAATAATTTGTAGTTTTGTACAGTACGTTTGGTTTTCTGGCAGCTGGATTACATAACCTAAAAGCTTTCTTTTTAATACTGCTAACTCTGGAGTGCTATGTATTGTTTCATGCTGATACAAAAAATGTGTTGTAACTGTTTACATGTTGGCCATTTGTTGTCAGTCAGAGTATACAAAAACATGGTGTATATAGTGTGATACATAAATTACTATCAGAAGACACCACAGACATGTTTGTAGTAAATATTACTACCTTGTGAATTAAGCTATTCACCATTAAAATACTTATCCTATAGCTCAGAAAAGTTCCCTTATCACTATTTATAAACAAAACACATTCAATAAAAGGTAATTATATCATGTTCTGAATCTATGCAGAAGAATCTATTATATTTACAACACACATTACACCAATATTATAAAAATTGTTTTGTACTCCTATGTGCACCATTACTTTACCCATGAAAATACCTTTTTACTGAATGGGTAAAAATATGAGGTTTCTCAAAAACCTGCCAATTATAGCCACATAATCCACAATGGACTACTCTACTAAATGCCAGTATTTAAGTGTGTGTGTGTGCATAGTAATAAATGTGTTTCATCCATTATGGACATATTTACAAGCACAAGAAAAGACATTTTTGTAAGTATGAGCTTTATTAACACTTCATATCTGAACTTTACTTACTACTACTCCACTTCAACCAGACAGCATACAATATTTATATATTATGCCAACAATACTATACAAATAGTATTACAGTACAAGTCACATTATCAGATAAACAGAAAAGACATTCCTTTTCAAAGTTTAACCAATAATGACTGCACATAATGAATGTCACTGTGAGATGGCAGATAGTGGTACAAGCATCAATAAACCATCATCATAATTCATGTCATTTTGTCAGAAAATATAATAAATCCTCACACATTTCAAATACATGAAGCAATTCTAAATAATTTCCAATATAATCCTTCCAAAATTGGACAAATTAATCTAAAACTGAGTAGGATCCCATAACCCATTTGCACAGGGAAACAACATTACATTTTTAACTTTGAACAAAATGAAAAATGAACAATACTAACTAAAACTTCAAATAAAAAAAACTGAATAGCATTCATCTCAAAAATATTAGTGTCTTTTTGTACCAATAAAAAGGAGTATGGAGTAATACTGGGCTTAAATGTCACTATTTCAAATTGACACCTCCAAGCTTACACACAAAAAAGAGATAAGCCATCCATTTTAAAGCATGTCCAATGATCACAAGAGCAATTTCCTGAAATGAAGTTCTCTTCATATACAAGACCTGAAATGAATATTAAATTTGAAGCAAAATACGTAAAGAAACACTGTATTTAAAAGTTCAGTAAGAAATTAAACTAAGAAAAGATTATGGATAAGTTTAAAAAAATGTAAACTGAAGTATAACTTAATGACATAACTAGAACAAGAATGTACAACAAAAATAAAGCATTTCTAATTCTGAACAGTAGGAATCCATGTTTCTTTCTAATTCTGAACAGTAGGAATCCATATGTTTTGACTTAACCCTTGCTGTAAAAGATGTTCAGCTAAATTATTTTATTGTTATTTTCATTGTAATTAAATGTGAATTTATATTAATATGCAAGAGTATTAGGCTCATTAAATGACTGGATTTTTCTACCTTCAGGCTTATTAAATTATTTCGCTGGATATTTCAGTCTCCTACCAATATCATCATTAGACATCGCAATGTTTTAGTATCACGTTTAAAATTGTTTCTCTCATTTTTCAATATCAAAACGTATGTGGTGAATTTATTCTGAACGTGAGATTCTTTTCTGATACAACACAATTTGTGATGGAGTGCTAGCTCACAACAAAATCAACATATAGTAAAGCAGTCTATTTGACGGACGAGCTTACCAATATATTTGAAAATGTGTTGGTACAATATACAAAGTGTGGGGTGGGGGAAGATGGTAATTCTTATTGCAATGAACTTCCAGTAGCATTCTTATAGTGTACATTCATGCAGTCTTTCTTATGGGCCTCAAGACAAAATTTTGAATATAAAACTGCAGGGTGAGGTATTAGGATTCACCATACGCAGCCCACATGCTACATTATCAAGACTTTGTGAAATCAACTTCAAACACACAGCAACAAAATTTTTATATGTGGAAGTTGCAGAAGGCCAATTTGTTTTACTTTCCAGTGGAGGATAAAAAGAACCAACCACTTGACAGATACATTAACTTGGAATAATCAAATATATTACCATTATTACAGCATAATGTCACCTCATATACTTATCTGAGATTCTGTATAAAAGTTCCAAGTGTATGTCAGATGAGATTCAAGTTTTAAATTAAATGGGATGTTATAACCAATCACATTAAAAATAATATGCACTAAACAACTTGCACTTAAAAGTTTTTGAAATACATGAAACTGCCTTAAGTGATTATTCACTGAACATCCCCTAAGGTGATTACAGATTTAATTAAAAAAAAATCACTGAACATCCCCTAAGGTGATTACATATGTAATTAAAAAAAATTATTTCTGCATTACCTCCTAATGTGTTTGTGTAAAGTTCAAAATATAATCAGAGTACAAAAAATCTTGAATTTGGATTAATTACTGTTTTGTTTACTTGATGGCACTTAAACCAATTCAATTTTTATCAATTGCTGATATTATGACAGATAACACAGGACTCAGAATAATTACAAAAAATGTTTTCCCATATGACCGTTCATTACAGATGTAGGCAAATTTGTACAATAAAACTGATAAAATGACATAAAAGTCCTCTTTTTTCCTTTCTTTTTTTATCCAACCTTTTACCTCTACACAAAAATTTGTTGTTATTCAATGACCTAAGCTGCTATATATGTCTTGTGTTACATGATCATCATATATCTAATACTTTTGACTTACTTTTTCAAATTACACTGGCCAAACTTTTTGTGTCAATAATATGGACAAAATAAGCTGCTTATCTCTTCACTAAATCCGATATACTGATCATGAAAATGAAAGTTAAAAAATTTGTAACCCGCAGCTTTTTATTATCCCCTAAATTTCATTTTATTCAAAATACTATATGAACTTATATTACCTATTGAAATATGGACTTTATTTTGAGTTAACTTGGAATCACTATCAAAACATCATACGCTTACATTATGGATGCTAATATAACAAATCCACTAAGAGAAATACACAAAGAAATAAGTACTTGGATTCCACTAATAAAATATCATAATCTCGCATTATGGTTGACAAACAGAAAAACAGGCAAAAATACAAAAGTTAAAAAAATACTCTATTCTGACTATACATTCATACAAAAAGTTATTTTTCCTTCATATAAACAATGCTATCTTCTCTTTCCCATATAGTTTTTTGATTAAACTGATGTGCAAAATTTTTTTTAAATCCACATCTGCAATATGCATGTCAGAATTAACATAAAAAGTTAGTTTTCAAACATGTTATAAAAACCTTGCTGACTAGCACAATTATATTCACTGAAATGCAACAGCTTAAAAGCGATGATTCCTGTGCTTTTCAGTACGATTGCCAGCCTAAAATAAATTTTCTATTAAAAATAAAATACTCAAGCAGTTTCTGTACTAGAAGCATTTACTCTCCGTGCATACCAGATGAAATCACACAAACACGCAGTCTACTCACTGTTGCTACTATGACAGTGTTTCTGGCCATAATATTATGGAATGCCTTTAACTGGCCTGCTAAAACAAACACAATGAATAACTTTTCATCATTTATTTGAACACTGTTAAGCACCATTAAAATATCCTCCCCATTCTACCGCCTCAAATTCTGGTGTGGGGTTATTTTTCATAATTTAGCTTTATCTGAACTGAAACTTTCGGGAAATATTGTTTTAAAATAAGCTTATAACTGCCAATTGAAGACAAGCACAAAAAGGGGGAAATGACATTTTTCAGTTTTTAAAGGAGGGACCAAAAACTGTTTTAAATGGCTAGTATCACACTTTTTTAGCCTTAATAAACATGCATAAGCATTTTAAAGAACACTTTGAACAGTACATGTTTATTTGATCAAGAAAAAGTAATTTTATTAATGGAATCATCTTTTTACTCCAAACTTACTTAGTGTCAAATTCTTTCATCTTCTGTTCACAAAATGTCACTTTCCACACTATTTACGGAAGACAAAGATTTTAGGAATTTGTAGCACCATGTCGCACTCAATGGACATGGTACTCTGCTTTTGTATTGCATCTTTGATTGCAATCCTGCCTTCGTACGCAAATGGAGCCAACAGTAAAAACACTGAATGGGCCGCATGACTTCAAAAACATGAAAAATAAGATGCATGAGCATATGCAGAGCATTCCAGAGTTCCATGTTGCCAGACACCGAACTAGTTTGGATCAAGAAAGGGATATGTTTCAACATCCTTCCCTTGCACAAATGTCGTGGATAAGTTTCGAACACCTGATCAGAAGCAACTTGGTGGATTTATCCATGCCTTACACAATAAAATTGGGCTATTCTTGTCTTTTAATAACTAAAAACACAATTTTGACCTTTTAAAGTTACCCCCTTCTTGCATCAAGATCTTCAGCTCCACCTAAAGAAGGTACAGCAACCACCAGACTACACAGTATCACAACCCAGAAAACCATAATATCCTCACCAGCATGAAAACCTAAAATCTCAAACACTCACAATTAACACATCATCATCATCATCATTTTACTTGTAACTCTGATAAACACCACCTCAAACAGAATTAATATTATCAGATCATAAAATAAAATAAAATGAAGCAGATAAACACTTCTACTCAAACAGCTTAATCACATTTCAGGTGTGACAGAATTGGTGTGCTGGGCGGGTTAGCGTATGGGCATGAAGAACAATTATTCTAAAGAAGAAACATCTGTTCCAAACCTTCTTCTCTCAAGTATTCAAATTAAAATACACTGGATCTATGCATCTATATATGTGCGCAAAATGTATCGACTTTCAAGCTATTATCATCTCGGGTTATATTATTAACTGGCAAACAGTATCATACCGATCCCAATAACAAAGTCAACAACATGAATTTTCAAAGCTATCTATGATTCAGTGTTACATGCAATGCCAAATTTGAACAAGTACTTATTACCAATAAGAATGAAACTAACAGGCTGACAGGATGAAGTATTCAGCAATGTCAATGAAACATCCAATTTATGGTGAAGTTAACTATACGAATAAAGTATTTAATTTGTGAATTACCAGTGTGTCTACGGAAATTCAACTACGTGGACGAAACATTCAGTTTATGTACTGTCAATACATTTATGACAAGTCAACAGTGTGGATGAGATATTCAGTTTATGTAACATCAGTACGTCTATGACGAAGTTAACTGTATGGCTCAAAAATCCGATTTACGTATCACCAGCATCTATAGAATTCCTTGTTTTTGGTGTTTCCTAATGCAGAGTATGTAAAGAAAAAGGAAACACAACTTTCAGACTAGAACACAACAAAGTGCATTTTAAATGTGTGTGAATATTAACAACCGACGACATAAATTGCATTTTAAATTAATTTATACAAATTTTTCTCATCATTCAAATTAATAAAAAATCTTAATAAAATGTATTCTCTCAAACTTCAAAACATCTAAACTGTGCTCTTCTGTGAACAGTTCTCAATGTTCGATTTTAACGTATATTTTTCATACTTGTATTAAAATTACTCAGAAAATATTAAAATTCTTCTTCTAAAATACCAGAAATAATGTTATTTCCCTGTGGCTCAATGGTAACTTTATTTTAAATAAAGACTTCAAATTCTGCAGTTGTTTAATACATAATTTTCAATTTTAAAGACATTCATATGTCATCAGATGTATTGTTACAGATCACCACGTGAATATGATCTAGAATAAGCATAACAGGAGAAAAAAAGAAAGAAAGAAAGATCAACTGAAAATAGCTTTCAAACATAGCACACATTTCACACTGTCATAAAAAAAGCTATATGCTTTTAAAGCATGTAATGAACTGGGTGAAGTCGTAGAACAATTAATTCAACATCAACATGAAATTCACTGGGTCACTTGCAAAACTTTCTTCAGTCAGTCCCCATTCTGATGGCACTGCACAAGTATTTTGTAATTCAATCACAAAGGTTCCTACGGGCTATACTCCCAAAAATTTAATTCACATCCGCAGCTGTGTTCATTTCTTCGAGACAACACGTTCTTCAGAGTAACACATTCAAATAGGTCCACTGTTGATCCTTCATGTTTTTACTCTGAGGTTCCATGGTGTTATTTGTACTCAGTGGCTTTAATATTATGTTAAGATTTACCTATTACATAGACACCAAACTATAACACAGAAAGCAAATTTGCATAGCACAAACACACCACACTTTTAATTATAGTGAAAAAATTATAGTTATATAATAAGCAAAAATTTGGACATGGAACTCTTACATTTTCATGCCACCTTGCCATTAAATGAAAGATGTTACTTCTTGAAACACAAACATGTACTCAACACCAATTACAAAATTAAATTTCCTTTTTGAATATCATACTTGTTTCTTCTATACAACTATTTACAGAGAAACTGAAAAAAAAAATAGATACGGGACAGAATACAGCAAGAAAAATTATACAATTACATTATTTACAACAGCTTAAAAACACAGGATAAACTTGTTAAGACGACTTTTAAAGTCTACTAATAGGATAGGGCTACGAAGAAATAGACAATTTTGCAAAACATGATACTTCATGGTTAACTGTATGACAAACTGAACAGTTCGTACCACGTCTGTTAAGTTCACACCCCCAAATTAAACAAGAAATACGAAGAGGAATCATGGCTGTATTCCTGGCCCTAGCTGATGAAGCTGAGAAGACAAGATAACAACCATAAATTACAAATACATATATTACTATCTCATCTGTGAAATAATTACTCCCACATATATTTGTACAAATATACTTAAGTTCGAGGTGGCAGAGGTGGTGGTGGAGGCGGAGGGGGTGGGGGGTAGTAGGCCTTTGCAGCCGCCACAGTAAAGAAGGTTGACGTACTTCCTGGAGCTGTCTGTTGCTGCTGGGGTGAAGAATCTGTCTGATGATTTATAGACGGCAGAGGTGGATTCACAAAATGTGTACTTCCTTGTGAAGTTCCATTATTTGGGATAGCTCTTCCAGGACCTACCACCATAACAGTCTGAGGAGATAAATTTGATGATGCTGTACCATACGATCCTTGCACAACAAACTGAGTATTCCCAGCATTTGGTGGCGGTGGTGGAGGCGGAGGCGGTGTTGTAAGGAGGAATTTCTGTGTTGCCTTACAACTTCCACTGTTGACCGCAGAAGACTGATACACTGTTGCCACTGAAGGTGGCACAGCAAGGCCCTTCACAGACGTGACAGCATTTGGCAACCCCTTTACTCCCAGACCAGCTGGGAAGGATCCATATGTTTGATTTTTCAATGGATTAGTAAGAGTGTACAGATTATATCCTTGTCCACTCAAGGGCTGGCGATTTGAGGGCGGCAAGTTTGAATTTGTTGATACGTAACCTGCATTACCATTGGTAGAAATGTAATTTACTGACGTACCGACAGGAACAGAATTGTTTGGTACAAGAATTGAAGGATATACAGGTGATAAAGTTGAATTGGCTTGGCCAAGTTTGGGTGCGGATGAATACATCGTAACTGAATGCTGTGTATTAGACACCAGTGATGGTGAAGTAGTGGAGGCGGGGCTTTCTTCTTTCCATCCTTGGCATCTTGGACCAAACCTGTAAAACATACAAAAGGGTTCCTTTTAGCATAACTCACTTTGTATTCTTTAATCTTTCATTGCTATGTGGCTAAGTTCCCCACAAAGATCTCTATTTGCCATGTTAGTAAAAGTGGAAAATTCTTCCTCTATTCCAGTTTGAAGAAGTCTAGAAGGGGTTTTGGAAGCAGTCTGTCCAAATGTTATACAAG